GCATATTCTTAAGTGGCTCGGATGACGTACATGAATACAATACAATGGTCGTTTGGAGATGCTTTTAATGACAAATAATATGTATACACGGTATACGGACGAAATTAGACGCAAAAATCATAAATCAATTTCAAGCAGAAAAATAAAACCAAATAAAAAAATGTGTATATGAACATAATATGAATACGAATATGAATATAAAGAGCCGATATAAATGCGAACATAAATATAAATGTATATGTAAATATAAATGTAGATGTGAATATATATATATATATATATATACATATATATATATATATATATTATATTGTATATATATATATACATACATATATACTTTTATATATACATTCAAATATACATAAATACTTACATACTAACATATATACATGCAAACATACATACATAAATGCATACATACATATACATATATATATAATACACACACACACACACACACACACACACACACATGTATATATATATATTGAACATATACACGACTATATTCCCAAGTCTACTAGTTGCAATCCATCACTTGCAAAGCAGTGATACATACTTACCCAGACTATCAGGGCCAAGTCCTTCGATTTCGTACTGCTCTCCAGTAGTATTATGATTGGTAGGCTCAGACATTCCTTGTGTTGGTGACCCAGGTGTCGACGTTGGCGGTGATTGAAGTACCGCCATATTGATCGGATCGCTTGGCACCATCTCATTGTTGTTAATGATCTCAATCTGTGCGCGAGGTTTCTCCTCCGCCATTACGGAAGAAAATATACGCAATAGGTTTATATGATAGAATGCAGGTTATATACGTGTACGTATGCGCGTACTTATGGTTGTGCTTAACATATTCGCAGGAACTGAGTACATGTACTCTATCGTACTGTTTAAAGCTCAAGAGAAGTCATAGGAAGTATTCCAGAAGTTCTATTTTTTACGTTAGAACGTAAAACAGTCAACGCATGCAGTAATTTCGTGTTTACGTTAAAAATGTTTACATTGGTTTGTTCTTAGTGTGTGATACAGGTGCAAGAATGAGGTTCCGAGGTGTAATATATAACTAATGGTACATAATATAGTTCAATTCGTTCTCGAAATAGGTTAGACCCTTTCTTGCCCGCTTTTTTCGTTTCAACGGTTCAACTATTTACGTTTGCGTTCAACGTATATGCTGAACTATTACAATGTATTGAGGTTTGGCTAAAATATTTAAAAGAAGCTGGGAGCGTAGCCGTAGACTCAAAATCGGCGTATCAAAGAGTTAAATTGCTCAAAATGATAAAAAGCCGGCAAAATGGATTTCACGTGTTTATAGTACAAATATATTATATTGATGCAAGATGAACATTTGTGAGTATATATCTATCGGTAATTACACACGGTGCAAATGACAACCAGTCATATTTCTATTGAAGATTTTATGTACGTCGCTCGTATATATACAAACATATAATATATACATATTTCCATAGTAAGAGTCCAGTGGGCTGTAGTGAATATTTAATTGCCGACATCGCTAGGCCTGTCGCCATAGTAACCTAAGGTATACATATTCAGCTTTCAGTCTCGCCTTTTCTTCTCGTGAAGCGCGAAACCTGGCATGCATTATGCAAACAAGTTCGAAACATTCTAACGACGGGTATAAATAAATTAGTGTGAAGATATTTGTAAAGTAGAATACTTGTCATGGTTTTTAGTATCGCATACGTACATGGTGTGTATATCCTCCTTGTCCCATGCGATTATACATCACCAATATTCAAGTAAGTTTCTGTGCACAGTGTGATTAGTATGCATATACTTGATATTTTGAATATATGTCGCGGAAGTTTGAAGATATCTGTGAGTCAGTGGGGAAACGTTTTATGTGTTCTGTTTGTCGGATGCATATGAATACATCCATAC